CCCCAAAACCCCAAAACCCCAAAACCCCAAAACCCCTCAAACACAATTGTCTACATATTCTTGAGTTACTTTGATATGATATATACAAATGAATTAAATCGAATTATTCGCCTCAAAAAGCATATTCTCATGAAAGACAAGGCTGCTTTCATTTCATCTGTCGAGATCGTTCTTGTCGAGCTTGTTCTTTGTCTTTTGCTTTCTCTCAGCTTTCTCTATTTTGGCAAGTTGTGCAAGTTGGTCTGCCTTGTTCTTGGTTTGTTGTTAAACACCACCTCTCTTTTTGAGAGCTTCTTTAATAGCAGCTTCTTTTTGTTCAGCAGTAAGCTCCTTTGTCTCTTCTTACTTAACTTCCTCAGTCTTAGTAGCAGCATCAGTAGCTTGCTCAGCTGCCTTCTTCTTCTTATTCTTCTTCTTCTTTTTAGATTCTGCAGCGGCATCTGTGCCAGCTGGTTGTTCCTTCTTTTCCTCGACTTTCTTCTCCTCAGTTGCAGCTGGGATGCTTCCTAATAATTACTCTAATTCCTCTAACTCCTTCTTCTTTTATTCCTTCTTTGATAATGCTTTCTTCTAACCCTTTTCTATAATTTAGTTAGCTAGTTTCATTATTCCTACATTAATCTTTGGATTATTGAGCAGTCTCTTGTTTAGTTTCTTCTTGTTGAGTTGGCTCCTCTTCTTCTTTCTGTTCTTCTTCTTCCTCATCAGAATCGATTTGGAATGCTCCCATATTTTTTCTCTTTCCTCCTTGTTTCTCTTGCTAAAAATCAATAATGAGCATTTTTCATATGTAGAATTTTAATACCTTCTTTTCATTTTAAGCAGCTCTATCTGGAATAGAGAATCCTGTTACAACATAGTCACCTCTATCAGTTTTAGTTCTGTTTTGAGGGGGTGGCATTTTTTTCTTTCTCTCCTCTTCTTGAGCCTTTTTCTCCTCTTAGATCTTCTTCCAGTTTTTCTTCTTCTCGTTTTATTCAGCTTCACTACCTTGGACTCCAATCTCCTCGTTTTGATCTTCATCATCACTTTCCATTTCAGCCCAATTTTGATCCTTCTTGACTTCTTCTTGTTGAGTATTTTCCTACACTACTTTGTTAGTGTCTTGCACGTCTGCCATGATTAATAATGATATTCTTTACTAATTAAATAAAGATATAAATGATTTCCTTAGCCTAATATACTAATTCATGGGGTTTTGGGGTTTTGGGGTTTTGGGGTTTTGGGG